CGATCATCAAACACAGCACATCCAGGCATCACTTCACTCTGAACAGCAGAAGTGGAGTTAGTGAAGCTGTCTGATTCTTTCTCATTGTTCAGTGCAGCCATGTGAGTGCTGTCAGGGGCAGAGAGCACAGGTGAGTGTTTTGTACCTTCCAAATCGTCGATGGTCTTCTCCAGCTTGGCCACAGACCGCTCTGCAAACTCTGCACGAGTCTCCGCCTGCGACACACAGCAGCACAACGTGAGTCCGTGCACAAACTCACATTATGTATGAACACTTCCTGAAGTTTACAGTGAGTCATGATCAACAGAAACAGTTACTAACAACTCACCTCTTTCAGTTTGTCACTAAGAACTTTAATCTCTTCTTCATATTTGTCCTCCTTTTGTGTATACTATAATCCAAACATAAAACAAGTCAGCACAGCAACGTTGAAATACATTTGAACTCCAGTGTTAACTACAAAAATGAGACAGCAGTGATAAATGCATGATCAATAAAGTACTTTTAAGTTATGTATAACTTTGAGAGATGGTTTGATTATCGTTAAGAAAGGCAAGTAAGATAATGATGAATAATTGTGTGTGAAGCATCAAATGAAAAAGAAACATACAGTTTATGAAAGGCAAAGAGGAGCAAGATCATTTCAAGCCATTTGAAAGAATTACTGTCTAACTTATAGTATTCTAATGGAGACTGCATGTGTGTGTGTGTGTGTGTGTGTGTGTGTGTGTGTGTGTGTGTGTGTGTGTGTGTGTGTGCACCACCATGTGTGTTTGCATTACTACTAACATTATGATGCGTTCAGGTACAATCAGTGAAGATTCTGTGCCTTATATTTTATTTAATGAACCACGAACTGGGTCAGAGAGAAATACCTGCAGGTGTGTGTGTGTGTGTGTTGTGTGTGTGTGTGTGTGTGTGTGTGTGTGTGTGTGTGTGTGTGTGTGTGTGTGTGTTGTGGTGTGTGTGTGTGTGTGTGTGTGTGTGTGTGAGTTAGCTTCATGGCTTTAGTCTGGCTCTGATTGGCTGATCGGCCCCCAGCTGCTACCATACCTTCTCAGCCTGGGCTTCCAGAGACTTCAAGTTGTTGGTGACATTTTTCAACTCTTCCTCAAGGTCACCTGATTTACTGAGCAAGGTGAGAGAGGGGAAAAGCAAGAGGGAAAGAAAGAGTGAAAGGTAGGAAAGCAGGAGAGCTCAGACCCTGTTTTGAAGGACCCGCTCCAAACATTTTTCTGTCTGAAAAACGCCAGGGCGATTTAATCTAAAACGTGCAAGCTGGCAGATTACAGTCAGAATTAAGATATAGAATAATCACAAATGAAACAAAGACGTCTGTTGTTATTCTATATTTTCCCGTAAGTCCCATGTGCAAACCCAAACCAACAACATTAGTCTCTTAATACGTTCTGAATCCCTCCTCTATCTGTGGCACAGCCTCAACACTTTTGGTTCCTACTGAAAACTGAAATCTTTAAACGGCTCATTCATTTTACAAGCGTAAGTCAAAACTATTTTCAGTAGCGGATTTAGACACATTTTGTTGATAGTGAGTATTTAAGCAGCAGGGTTGTGTGTGTGTGATTTAATCAAACTAAAGTACAGTGTGTGTTCACTGTAAGCCACATGTCAGCCAGAGCAACAGATGTTTTTGTATTAGTCATGAAATCATTTCTTGTCCAGCCGCTGTTCCTCTTGCTGCTGTGACTCATTGCAACACTTCTTTTATAACCCTTTCTGAATAATGCAAATTAAATGAAAGTCTTCTTGAGATGTACTTTCATATAAATCAGCATCCACTACAATACCTGCTGTTAGAAATCAAATCTTTAACCTGCCATGAAAATGTAGTTTATATAATTTGGGAGGAACATTTGTTTGCTAAAAACCGCCAAGGAACATTCAATTAACAACATTTAAAATGACCGTTCTTATCTCAAACCTACGCCCCTAGACCTCTCGTTGTTGGTTTTGGTCTTTTCATGACAACAATATAGAATAACACCAGCCCTATCCTTCAGAGACGTTTTGGATGACATGCTTGAGTGCAGGCGAGACGGAAACACAGAGAAGGGGGGGGGGGGGGGCTGCAGGTTTAGAGGAGCAGAAGGCTGCAGGTCAGTGATAGACCTCAGTGGAGTTTGTACAGAAAGTACCTCTTCCTCTCCGCACATCATGGACTTGTTGTTCTGGTCCATGAGTCTGAGCTCCTCCTCCAGCTCCCTCACTCGCCTGAGGGTTAGTCCAGGAGGTCGGGGGTGAGGGTGGGCAGTGGGCGGGGCAGCAGTAAAACAACAACAAACAATCACCCATACAGGCAGTGGTGTTAGGGCTGTACCCGAATATCCGAATATTCGTTCTTTGGAGTACTATTCGGGTTTCAATTTCGTTATTCGGATATTCGTTTTGTTTGTTTTTTCCCCGTTTTTTTCAAATTGAATTTATTGAAATCTCCAATATCAACGTGAGAGCTTGTGCCTCTTCGGGGGGTGCTAACACTTAACCATAAACGTTATCGTTTACTTTCTCCGTCTTTATTCTTTCACACACACATACGGGTATTGAGCCGAGGGCGACACCGTACTTCCGGTATCCGCCGTTTTACGCGAGGTGCAAGCAGGCCAAGGGTTTAGCCGTACACCGTCTAGGTGTTGCTAAGCTTCCTGTACTGAATATCATAGTCTATTGCCTTAATCAATATCTAGTCAACTCTAAAATACCACATATATGCAATGGCATGATAATATTATTGTGACAAGTGGGGTATTCACCTGGTGTTTCCAGAAGATAGACGTAGATGCTGCCAAAATCGACGCAGTCTGTAAGGGCAATCCGACAACCCACACAGCTCTAGTTTACGCTGGTAACGACCTAGAGCACACCCCTCAAGTCCAGAGATGTAATCCGAAAACATGCAGCGATTTCTTCGGTCGTTAATTCAGAAAAAATACCTAGTGCGCTCTGCCTTGCTACGTTAGCTAGCTGTTTATATTTGCACCTCCATGAAAATGGCGTATTTATATATATATGGCGCGTGTTGCATTGTGGGTAGCTCGTGACGTCACTGTGTGTGAAAGAATATGTAGATATTACTTTTCTCGGTTAATCTCCGTCACGTTGTTTCCATAGAAACAACAACTTCCTGTCAACAGCGCTACCTCTCCTTCAAAATAAAAGCATGTCCATAAATAGGAAGCCAAGCCATTACACTTAAGACATATACAACTGCAACGAAAGTAACAAACACAATGCGATATCCTTTTCAATTTCAAAGAACACAAATTGGGTTACATTAAAAAATAACTATAAAACAACAATACTGTAGAATAACAAAATGAATGGCGTTCCGCGCGGGCCGAATATTCGCTGCCGATTACTACCGAATATCCGGAGCCCGAAAAATGGTATTCGGGACAGCCCCGACATGCGTTACATAAAACACACACCTAGGTCTCTATGAGATTAGTGGATTCATGATATCCTGCAGTTTGTGATACACACTGCTACAAGGTGCTACAGTAAAATAATACTACTGCTGAAACGATTGGGTGAACGATCATAGTCGATCAATAGAAAATAAATCAACTAATAATTGCTTAATCGTTTAGGCAATGTATAAAGTAAAATGCCAAACGCAAATTCATGTTTATAGAAGGATTTTCTGGTTATCTCTTTTATTGTTTATGTTTAACATAACGGAGTGGGTCAAATGACTATGTGAACTTGTGATTGGCATTTTTCTTATTTTTTTCATGTTATAGCCCAAATGATTAATCAATTAGTTGCAAAAAGAATTAGTAGATACATCTAAAACACATCATTAATTGAAGTCCATGCAGCACTTACTACGTAACTTTCAATACAAACATTAGAGGGTTATATTATTGTTACGTAAGCAACTCATCAATGACAAGAGAATATGTCAGACTACATGTTGCCATAGCAGTGATCACATGATCTCTACTATGGCCTCATGAATAATGCACAGTGGGTCTTGTGTCATGGTGTTGACTTACGCCTCAGCCACCTCAGCACGCTCCTCTGAGCGCTCCAGATCGCCCTCCAGGATCACCAGCTTACGGGCAACCTGCAACATGGAGCACACAGTCAGTACACACTCAGCACACAGTCAGTACACACTCATCACACACTCATCACACACTCAGCACACACTCATCACACACTCATCACACACTCATCACACACTCACTTCAAACTCAGCACACACTCAGCACCATAGGCATCATATGCTTCCTGTTGAATTTAAAACCTGTCCTGACTTTAACTCTTTTTTGTGACTTTAACAAAACAATTGATATTAAGCAACCAGTCATGCCAACATTGATAACACTGTAAATTGAGTTTTTCCATTTTAACTGTATTGTAATATTATTTTAACTGTACTATGTATTATTTTATTGACCTGTGCTTAAATCATGTTTTATAATTGTTTGTGTGATAGAGATTATGCAATGTTCTTAGTGTGTGTTGATTGTTATAACCCTAACCCTAAGGACTGCAGATGGAAATGAGCTATTAGCTCAAATCTGGCATAAGGAATCTCTTCTCTTTCCTGAGATACATGTATTTGTATGCATGGCCCTTGTTGAAATAAATACATAATAATAATGCATACTGGGGATGCTGAAGACATGTCCCCACCACTTTTGGAAATGGCCAATTTTGTCCCCACCACTTTGCATTCAGATCATTTGTAAACAATGTTCTGAAAATAGCGTGCACAAAGAAGTGTACACTTTGAAAGAGGTTTATTTGCACAAGAGAACTTGTACACTTCAAGGACTGTTCACACTCTTTGTTGGTGTATTTCTAGTAACCCAAGCGGTTCAATTTGGAACTGCGACACATTTAATATTATTATTATTATTACATTTAATTTAGCTGACGCTTTTATCCAAAGCGACTTACAATTACCGATTACAGGGACATTCTCCGTGGAGTAACTAAGGGCTAAGTGCCTTACTCAAGGGCACACTAGTGGTGGTGTTCCTGGCAGGATTTGAACTCACAACCTTCCGATCTTCAGCCCACCTCACTATCCATTAGACCACCACTACTAATATCAGTAATAATTGAATAGAGAATATTAAAGCAGTGGTTGCTCCCGCTTTGCAGCAGCGTAGCATACGGCACTAGTTGTCCTAAAAAGTATTGTGAAGGCGTACTGCAGTAGTGTTTCTGAAAAAGTGTTCCCACTACTTTCTCTCAGAACACACTCAACAAACTACTTCCAACTCATGTAGCAATTATCATCTCTTACTGTTTATAAACTAACTCTTAGCATTTATCATCACTAGCACTCTTACTCTGTCCAGTTCTATACTCCATACAGCACTAAATGCTCATAGTATGTAAGGTACTATATTCAAATCAAGTCTAAGTCCCTTAAGCAAATTCTAATTTCTTAACAGTACATTCACAGAAATGTTAATGATTGTCAAATGTGTGTTTACTAATTTCAAATAAACATCCCAACATGTGTTGTGTTATCCATGTGACATGGTAACATTATGCTATCATAGCTGAGCGTTTTGCATATTTCGTCAGTGTTTTTGTGTTATCTTTGCATATAAACGTGATTTGAGTCCCTAATTTTCACTTTGCTGCATCGTCAAGTCTTCATCAGAATGAGAGTGTGTTATTAGTGTGGAGTAAGGTCAGTCAAGTCCCCACCTCTTCATATTTGCGGTCGGCCTCCTCAGCGATGTGTTTGGCCTCCTTCAGTTGCATCTCCTGGATCTCCATTTTCTCCTCGTCTTTTGATGCTCTGTTTTCTATGACCTTCATTCCTCTGGAGGGATAAGAGTAAGCAGTCAGTCAGAAACAAATGAGGGGTTATACTCAGTATGCTGCCCTCTTTATCACTCTGTGCAAGTGTCCATCAGGTGCAGTTCAGATGGGAGTTACACTTTTTACGCTGCTATGGACAATCTTGCGCTAATGCACATTTTCCAAAGATATTGAAGTGATATTGAAATGTATAAATATGTCTGATTGTGTGTATATAGGTATATACATATTTGTATACGTATTTTTATATATATTTGTTTTTGTATTCGGGATTGTGGGAAACGGTATTTTCGATCTCTCTGTATGGACACACAAACTGAAAGATTGGCAATAAAGTTGACTTTGAGTAATTGACCTTGAGCCCTTTCAACAATCCGGTAGTTGAAAAAGGGTTCGTTTACTGTATAATGCTGCTACTTCTACATCTATATTAGTTTGTCTTTATCTGCACTCTCCCCTTCCCTGTAACAATGTGAGTTTCCCTGCTGTGGGACCAAAACAAGGTTTTTGATTTCATGTGTTACTCTTAACCGCTGGTATTTTATAATGACAAACAGACCGCAGTGATTCACCATAGTTAACCAGATTTTAAAGACTGGGGAATTCCCCCTTATTTATTCTTGCCCCCTCTCGCAGTTTAACTTTGCAAACTGACTCATTTAATTATCACAGTCTCATGCAGATGTTCACCTCTCGCTCTCATCTGCTGCCTTCTCCGCCTCCTCCAGCTTCTGCAGAGCCGTCGCCAGTCTCTCCTGAGCGCGGTCCAACTCCTCCTCCACCAGCTGGATACGTCTGTTTAGAGAAGCCACTTCTGCCTCAGCCTGCACACACACGCACACGCACACACACACACACACACACACACACACACACACACACACACACACACACACACACACACACACACACACACACACACACACACACACACACACACACACACACACACACACACACACACAGAAAGAGATATCTTGAGTCACCTTATAGCTGTATTGACAATGATAACTATAGAGTTATAGAGGTCTATAGAACAGCAGAAATGGTATGCATCAAATACTTACTACTTAAACATTATGCATACAACAATTTACGTTTTGCTATATCTATATTTAACTCTTGCATCCTAAAGCATAAATATAGCCAGTCTCTAACACTAATTAAGATTATAGATGAAGTCATTTTCCATATGGTTTATCTGACACCAGTCGGGTCAGTCCAGGTCCATAACATCAGCTATGTATTTTCTGAAGCTGAGATAGATCAGCAACACTGACACAACACTGATTGAGACTTTTTGTAAAGTAAAGTAATCTATAAATATAAATAACAATAAAGAAACAAAAAAAAGCTAAATTGTTGTAAAAACAACAGGCAACCAAAAAAGGAACAGATAAATAAAAATGGGATGTATTGAATAATTTAACATCTTTAGAGAGACATATTTGTCAGTGTTTGGTAGTTTTATTAATGCTGCAGTATTAATAGGATTTGGTATCCGATTAAACATGACGTCATGACGTTAACCGCGCGTCCTTTCACGTTAAGTTTCGCCTATAAATGTAATTAGCCCTTTTCTACATGAAGCATATTAGCCTCCAGGTAGCAGTTTGTTTTAAACGGTGGTTTCCCGATAGGTTCAACTTGAGAGAGACTCTACAGGTGAGTTGATGGGCTCCATAATTTCCGAGGTGTGTTACCCTCGCTCTGCCCCCCCTCTCCATGTCCGCCTCGCGCTGCAGCATCTCGGCCTGCTCCTCCGCCTCGAGCGCGATCTGCTGCAGACCCTGGATCTTCCTGCGCACCGCGTCCATGGAGGCGAAGGTCGCCATGATGTATGGGTGTTTGTGTGTGTTTTTAAACACACACTCTACCTGCTTCTTCTCACAGGTGTCACGGCGTTTCCCTGGCAACGGCGTCAGTACGCGACGGCGACGTTTTGTCTGGTTACAACTTCAAAATAAAGCGATTCAAGTTGTATCTTATTTTGAAATGACACTTTGCGCACAAATCGGTATGAAGAAAATCATTTAAATATTATATTTGCTCAAATTGCACTGATTAATATGTTTGGCTTTCAAATAAACTAAAAGTAATATGTCTCGTTTAGTGTAATTGCCCATTTCAGAATGTTGAATGTTCATCAGAGTGATGGGCTGTGGATATAAACTGATCCTGTGTCTGGTAGTTTTGGCCCACAGTGCTCTGCAGCGCCACCCAGAGGGGAGAAGCTGGAAAAGCAGGTGTCGAACTGTTTTTTGACAGTGATGGGTGTATACTAGAGAACAGACTGGGTTATATTGTAGAGGAGACCTCTGGGGGGGCGGGGATCATTGGATTATAATTCTTGACCTGTTAATATGTCGCAGTTGGTAAAGATGGAGGTCATTAAAATTAATGTATAAACTACTAGACACCCTGGGGTCCTTAAGGGATTTCCAGAGGGTCTCACAAAACATTGATAAGATGCAATATAATGCTCTCGTGTCAGTCTGATTTGAGTTCTCGCATCACAGCGGGAACAAGTACAATATCCCTCTGAGATGTTGAGGGATAGATTAGAAAAAAGCTTAAAATGGAAATACTCAAGTAAAGTGCAAGCGCCTCAAATACTTAATTACAGTACATAAATTAAGTAAATGTACTTTACAACATTGGTACCCTCGTTTGCTGCACTTTATCCATACTATTGTAACTTGCATTTAACTGTGTTCTGCATGTGTATGATCCTAATTAATTTTTGAAAAGTTAATTTAAATAGTGTTATGCTTGAGAGTAACTGAGACATTGCTGACTGTAAATGTGCTCTGACTTCATCACTAAGTCCTCTCCCATCATGCCTGCTGCTGCGTTCACAGTGTGTGTAAACTTGATGTCCTCCTGAGGCATGAGTGAAGAATAAACAAGGCTTGCATTGCTTCGATTCTTTTCCATCTTTGGTCACATCACAGTAACCTCGTCACTCTTTCCGCACCGCTCTGAACTATAACTGCTCATAAATGCTGTGACTCGTAATGGATAGTGATGTCGTTGCTATGCAGAATTATTATTACTGATGGAGTCAGGGTAGAAAGTTACATCAAGTACAATAGTATGGAATGGTGAGACACTTTCCCCTGGATACACATAGAAATAGTTACCAATAGGTACGAGATAGTACTTTAAGGTCAAAGGATAAAAATGGCTTCTGATAGTTTGAATTAGAGGATCTTATTGGGGTCAGCTCAAGATTCCCAGTTTGTTAACTTGCAGTGTTTTAATCGGGTCACGAGCTGTTCTTATCAGGATTATTTAATGCTGAATGATGCAGCAGTCGGTCAAGTTTGAGAGCATTTTTCTTACTTGAGCAATGTTTTATACAGACAAGCCTTTGCAAATAATGAAAGATCAGTGATAGTACGTATGAGACAAATCATTTGGCAGTCTTTTTACTGTGAAATTCCCTCTTTGTTTTTCACTAAACAGTGTTTAACCACAGTGGAAGTACAGCCGGTAGCAAATAAACGCTGCAATTTTGGCTATATTACCTTCAGATGAGCTTTTTATATTAAAGTGCACTGCAGGAAAGGTTGAGACAAGATACACTTTTGTCCTGAACACATTTGTATTTTATTTACTAACCTGTGTCTCTAATAAATCTGTGTTTTAAATGTTATTAAACGGTGTTTTTTAAGTAACCTGTGTTGTCTTACTCACCTGACTTTTAATCCTACTAACTTGTGTTTTTTACTTACCTGTTTTTATTAATAACCTGTTCTTTTATAACCTGTTTTTTGTACTAACCTGTGCTGTTTTACCAACCTTTTGATTAGTTACTAACCAGTGTTTTTTTGTTAACGTTGCTCTGCGTTGGCGCCAACATCCGTTCTTACTGTCCCTGTTTGTGAGATTGTTTAGTATACCAATAGTACTGGTATAATAAGTACATATATCCAGGGCCGTCCCTCCCTACAGGCCGATCATGCAGACTGCGTGGGGCCTCACCTTGCGGAGGGTGCCTCAACTTGCGGAGGGTGCCTCAACTGAGCCGAAAATGCGGCGCAAATAGTTTGGCGCGGCACGGTGTCCACTAGCCCCCCCCCCCCGCTCGCGAAACAGAGGGCCTCATCATATAACTTGGCGTGGGGCCTCATGTTGGCCAGGGACGGCCCTGCATATATCTCTCTCTTCCTCCACAAAAGCACCCCGTGAGTGTCAGAGTGGGCTGATGCCGAGCGAGGACTCCAGAAACCAAATCCTCTCCGCTAAGCTCCTCAGATCTGTTAGAATAGATGGCATTCGCCTGGAGGTGCTGACAGGCTTTATGATATGTTGGTTGAATCTGATACTCCCCCTGACAGAGTTAACACAGCCTCTCCTGCTGCTGTCAGCGGCCAGAAGCTTTCTGCCGGAGCTGATGATGATGCTGTGGAGATTTAGCACGACCATCTTTAAGTCGTGCTCCTGAAGGTCAACATTAAACAGGTTCTGATTACTGGACGTGAGATGTGGGAGTTTGACTGACAGTAACAAACTGCTCTGGGCATATTTTTGAAACACAGGAGGAGCGTAGGCTTAGCACTGTGGGCTTATAGCTCATTTTGACTGATGGGCTACATTTACAACGGGGTAGTAATTCAAGTTAAGCAGCTACTTTTTTGCAGCGCCCGAAGGAAGCAGCACATGAAGTCAACAACACGGCACCTGTGCTGCTGTGTGTCTGTGTGTGTGTGTGTGTTTGGGGGGGGGGGGGGGCTTAGATGTGACCGGGCAGAGTACAATAGGTTAATGTGGTCTTAATATAGTCGGCCCTCTGCAGTAATGTGACCCGAGGCATCAGCTCCCTTCACTCACATCTGTTGCCTTCTTCTCCGCCTGCTCCAGCTTCTCCTGGGCATCCTTCAACGACTCCGAGTATTTGTCCAGCTCATCCTCCACACCTTTCAGCTTCTTCTGCAGACCCAGCAGCTCCTCCTCCAGCTACACACACACACACACACACACACACACACACACACACACACACACACACACACACACACACACACACACACACACACACACACACACACACACACACACACACAACACACACACACACACACACACACACACACACACACACACACACACACACAGAACATATCAATCCAATGCAAAAGGTACAAAGTAAAAGCATGCAGCAGGTCTAGAGACATTGTGTTTTTTCTCAAACATGTTCTAACTTGAAACAAATGTCGTCCAGGTCATCCAAATGTATTTACGTTTGAAGATGTCTTTGTGTTTGAACATAAATGTTTTCAGGACTACATAACTATTCTATATTTACAGTTCCCACAGGATCATTCCTAATGCTTTTGACCGGCTGACCTTTCCGTTAACACAGAGGAACGCTCATCACACAAAGCAACCATGGGCAATCCCTAATTGAGGTGATGATGTCATTGTTTCCAAAACACTCCTTTTATTTTGTCTTAAAGAATCGGCACTTTCAGAAGATATTTGAAAGTATCTCTGTTTTAGTGAACCGTTTGTGAGTGGAGCAGCGCCCAAGGTAAGATTTAAAAATACACCTTTGAACAAGGCCTTGAAATGGCAGTTAACCACAGGCATGTCACGTATGACGTCCAAACATTTCTGCCAATAAATCACACACAGCCAACTCATATGAATGACAGGAAACCCAATACCAATCATACACAGGACGTTTTAAATTCTACCAGGCTTATGACTGACATTTAATTATCTGGGACTCTCTAACGATGTTATTGAAGCACGTTTTAATTGATGACCTCATAACAGAAATGATGAAGCCAACAGGTGGATTGCTCTTTTCCCTTTCGGACCACAGGCTTTTGTTACCCAATGACTCGTATGCAAAGATGGTTTCCATTTGCAACAACAGCTTGGAGAACTATAAAAAGCCAATTGTAAATGACAGGGAAGTGGGCCGAGCGCAATGTGCCCAGGAACAAATGTCCTTTCCGGATCACTTCTCCTCCGGCCCGCAGCCATGTAAGGCCTCTCAGTCACAAATAGACCGGGACGCTCCTGATCCCACAGTCCACATTGTGGCAAACCGACAGCCTTGACTGTCTTTCTGTGAAGAGCAACAATTCAAAGAAGGTGGGGGTCTTTAGAGGGGCCACAGAAATAGACATGCCGGTATTTAATGCTCCTCGGCAGAGAGGAGTGATTGTGTGAGCTGGGATCCCCCGAGACCACGGGCTATGTGGACAGTTGCGTGGTGGAATGATTGCAATCTATTTTTTTACATGCTGGTAAATGACACCGTGGAGCTGCACCCTAACACATACAATAATATCACTGTGTGTTTTAGATTCAACTATAAACTCAGATGTATTTCTAACTGCTGGAAACCCTATATTACATTGTGAGGCTTTCCACACTCTGCTCATATGTTCCATGACATGTTCCCCATCACCACATCCAGTCTGTGAGGCTGCTGGGCTGTGAGAGGATTAACTGGGCTGCGTGACCTCAGTCATGGCCATGGGTATGAAAGGAAGATCTTGACCCTTGAACCCATCTTTTAGTACTCCTCAAAATGGTTCCTATCAATGAGTTGATTCCACAACTTTAGCCATTATAATTACATGTAACTGCAATAAGACCATTGAAAAAGGAATTAAGACAATATCTTACAGCTGAGCAGTGATGTGGAGAAACTTTAACAGCCCTATGTTGGGAAATGAAACTTACAGAATGTCAATTAAAATGAACAATTGATTAAGGGTTGAGTCAATAGAGTAAACAAATGAACATTTAACATGAGGTTTATACTGGTGCACACTAACTCTCACGAGTCCCAGGACGCCCCTCGAGATAAAGTTGATATTTTATGAAAAATGACTAAATTAATTCACTTCATTACATCACTTGTAATGTACTATGAATTATTTCAATGTCATTATTCATATAAAGTACAATTTCTCTATACTCAACTTTGGTTTGGTTTAAAGTTTAATAACACCATTGAAAGCCACTGATCGTGTGACTAATATCAGACGGTGGATGTTGAATTATTTGTTGATGAAATACACACACTTAATCTTGAACGTGTTCAAATCTGTGAGATATGGTGTTTGCAGTTAGGAAACAATAACGTTTTGTATTTTGTCTGTTTTCTTGCTCAACATTGTTCTCATCTTGCTATTATTTTATACATGGTAGGCTATAGGTTCTTAAAACGTTTTTTGAACATTTCTCGATAATAAACTTTTTATTTGACCAGATTTAGAATCAAAAGTACCGGAAAACAACTAAATAAAGTTATAAGCCGTCTGCCTGTGCTTTGATCTAAATGCATGTCTGTACTGTGAGTAGAGGAAGCGCTGATCATCTGGGGGTCTCTACCTGTTTGCATTTGTCCTCTGCTCCCTTCTTGTCCCCCTCAGCCTGTTCTGCCCGGTCTATCGCGTTCTCCTTATCCAGCTTCAGCATCTGCATCTTCTTCTTGATGGCCTCCATGGTTGCTCCGGTCGTGTGTCTGACAGCAGCGGGAAAATAGGGAAGTAAATCCGGACAGAGATGGAGACAGAGACGGAGACTGCGGCACAGGGACGGAGGTGGACAGGAGCGCGCGTGCAGCTAGTGTGAGCAGCTCAAGAAGAGTTGAGGATGGAATACCAGCTGCATGAGCCCCACACTTTCCCCCAGTGAGCATCCGCACGAGGACTCTGTCCATATTTAGGCACCTAGAGTTGTCTGGCGCGCGTGTGTGTGTGTGTGTAAATCACAGGCAGGTGGGTCATCTCTCGACCTGAGACAGAACTCTTAAACAACTCTTGTCTGGAGAAAAAGTAGCGTATGAGATCATGTGAATCAATTATGTTTGATATTTTTCTTCATAATCAGCGATAATCAGACTTTTTTCATGCTGTTTTGATATCAAATGACAACATCTCGTGTAATTACTGGTCTACTTGTAGTCTACTGCACTTGAGTATTAGTTAATAATCTTAATCGGTAAAGGAACTATAATTTTAAGATAAGAGTAGAGGAGTAAAAATGACAAATTTGGCTTCTAAAAGCAATATTATAAATTAAAGTATTTAATTACAGTGCTTATACAGTACTTAAGTAAATGTACTTTATTGTCTGCCCCGAGTTATGAGAATCCTGGATCTCCAGGGGACTCAAAAACCCCTCTTGTGGCTGCCGGTTTGTTTTAGAAAATGTTATTCTGAAGCAAAATAAAGTGGTGCAGTGATGACGTGGAAGTAAGCATCACAAGGAGTCCCTCGACAAAAAGCAATTGGATATTTCCATTGGAATTTAGAATATTGGATCCGTAGCAAAGCACGTGTATGGTACTTACACATTTTGTTCAGCAGTTAAATCTCTACTTATTAAAAACAATTTTAAGAGTAAATGCAATCGGCACAAGTAAAAAGCTAATATTAGACTATGAAAGAATTACAGCATGGTCACATGACTTCACGTCACCACCGCTAAGCTAAAGGCAGCTAATGTTCGGTTTGATAACGTTTAGTAGTCTAATTTAATCAATTGTGAGACTTGACTTTCACCATTGGTGTATTAACTGATGTATTTTATCTCGTAGAACAAAACGTGGAGATCTTGTAGGCTAGAGTTAATAAATAACTTTAACTATGTCACATTACAAACATAACTTACGTTCTGTACATTAATTATATTAAAAAAACGTCCTTTATTAAACCCAAACCATGACCTTTTTACTTAACTCATCTGAGAAGCTTGGTTTCAATTCACCTCGTGTTTTAACGACTTCATAGGGGCCCAGCAACCTATTTTTGCCCGATGGCCCTAGAGGAGGGTTAATCCGGCCATGCCTTACTAAACCTTAAGAATGAGTTGCAGCTGATATTACACACACAAGTCCATGAGACTGATATGATGTCTGAGTATATCAGAAAATGATGCTGGTTTTGAACACTTCGACTTTTCTCTAATATATTGCTGAGGAAGCGTAATGTCTAAGAAGAGGGTGAAGACAGTGAGAAATGTCAAGAAATGGAGGTCAACAGTGTCACTGAAAACTGGCTTTATTGAATATAAATCTGTTACAGTGCCAATGAGGTGGTGCTGCTGTAATTGAAGGCAAAATGTGAGCAAAAGAACAAAAAGACAGATGATTACAGTCACTATAAGGAATGCTGTGCAATGTTTGTTCGAAAAATACTCAGTCAGAGAACATAACGACTTTGTACACACATGGTGTAAGGGTAGATTGAAATGATGGTCTGATAAATTATGAAATGAAGTGCATCTAGGGGTATATGGTTAGTATCTGTTGATAATACCTGACCATTTGTATGAAGGCACTTTAAGCACAGCTACACTGGGGACACAGTGAGCTAACGTCATGCTAACGAGAAGTAACTCAGACTAGCATTGGTGATTGTACTGTGCAGGAATTCTCTGGAAAGTCTAAAGCACTGCGTCAGGCACTAATGTTGGCACAGATAACACAAACACCGAGCATCCACATACAGTCAATATGATGTCAAATGTATCAAAGTTAAATATATGGCTTCATAATCTTTACACAAACAAAATATTCTAATTTAAGGCCTAAAAAATACTGACTGAAAACGTTTACTAAGATGGCACCTTGTTGGAAGATTCCTTTATAATACATTTCATAGCTCGATCATTAGAAAAATATGGTTTTCCCCTCTGATTTGTTACATTGCAAGGTTCATTTGTCCAAATCTAAACTTTAAAAACTACCATTTTATTTCATTTTCTTTAATACAGTATGACAAGTTACATACAGTACTGAACAAAATCACTGGTAATGAGACCGTTTCTCTCATAACATGCTCACACACAACAAAAACGTCTGCATAGAAAATGTGCATAGAGTATGCATAATTTGCATAGAAGCCTTTATCGTGCTCTGCTCCATCTCTCTGATATCTGACAGTCGGCAGGAAAGCAGAATTTACCGGCAGGATTTTTGTTACTTTAAGCCACACAAAAAAGCATGTACAAAAAAAAGAGAAAAATATATATGGAAAAGTATGTGATCATATATAATCAAAAGCACCGAAGGCATATATTTTATCAAAATGTATAATCATTGGCATCAGTTCACGTTTGACTTTAAGAATTAAATACAGAACCAGATTGATAGTGACCCTCTGTGGGGTGGAGTGATGTAGTCCTGGAGCCTTCTCTCCCTACATGTAGCTGGGGAAGGACCTGAACGCCCCCCCCCACCCCCCTCTCACTGGTCCTGGCCGTCCTCTCTCAGCTCTGAGGGGAGGAACTTGTACTGCTGCTGTCTGATCGTGGCCAGCTTCCTCCGGGCCTCTTCCAGCTCCCTTTCTTTTCGCAGCATCTCCTCCTGAGCCGCGATGATCTGCAACACCACACAGCCAATCAGAGGGCAGGATGTAACCAGAACAATCCATAAGCCCCACCTCCACCCGACATAACTGAGACATAACTCACAGGGACTACAGATGTAAAAAAGCCTCTTGGCTGACTATGGCACATTTACAGAAATGTCTGTAAATATCTGTCCCTGATACAATAAATGAATTAATAAAATAATACCAGTGGTGAAATGTAGCTTAGTAAATTCACTTTCTTTAAACCCCACACTCAATTTGGCTTTTTTGAGGATGTACTAAAAGTAAAAGTGTTTCTTATGAATAATAGCCCATGTCAGAATCATATTTATAAAATGACTGGATTATGATTATATTATAATATGCAAACCAAAACAGATGTAAGTAATATATAGCTCAGAAAGTGTGTCTGTTCTCCTCACCTGAGCGATGCCCCCCACCATCTTGCTCTTCACCACCACAGCCTGGTCGTCCTGAGCGTCGAACGCTGCTTTCTGCGCCGCCTTCACCAGGTTATCAGAGGCTCTCTTCACGGCGTTTCCAGCCGCCTGAGGGGGACAACAAACACAAAAAACATTTTATATGTGTGTTAGTCTTGAAATTAAAAGGAGCTACCTGACAGAAAGTCCCCTTTTCTATTTGAGAGCTTTAAATGGAAAAGACGTTTTGTGGAAGTGCTTGAAAAAAAAAATCCCTAACCCCTTACAATGGTTTGGCTTATTTGGAGCAAATGTACCCGACTGTTTCCAAGTTAATTTTTATTTTCTTAGTTTTATGTATTTGTTTCCATTGTTTTTATGGTTAGTCGCTTTGGATCAAAGTGTCAGCTCAATGTCATGTTGTGAAACTAATGAATACAGAGAACTAAAAGCATGCTTAACAGATGTCTAATATATGTAACCATGGCCCGTGAACTTTTCTTTGAGGGAATGTGGAAGCAGACCCATCAGCTGTGCTGCCTGGAAACAGCAACTCCAGGAAAGGGAATGAGACGTTCCGGCAGCGCTCCGAGAGGAAACCATAACAGTTTTTTTCTCCTGCTGAGTGCCTGAGAATAACTGTAAAAGGCAACGACTGCTGAACTCCTCTGAAAGCCAAACATTTGTCTCATTGGGCGGCTCGCCTCTAAGGGAGAGGAGTTTTCTCCTTTTGCGGCTCCATGGCCTGAAATCAGACACTCAGCTGGCGGCCACACACACATTAGAGAATCCTCCTCTGGTGGTTTATCTTTGGCTGGAATGTTACTGTTAGTCTGGCCCTGACATACAGCATAACACAGCGTTAGAGCAAGGAGGTCCGGGGGGGGGTGATGTTTCTAAAAATGCACATCAAATCCATTTCGAAAAGCAACTTAACACCCTGTTTTAACTGGGAAATGCACAAAACAATGCATGGGACATCCCACCACAGCTCTGAGGTCGTTCCTCTGGTTTGTTTACCTGACTCATTTCAGTCGTGTTTTCAGACATTCAAAGGTTTAAATCAATACAGCCGTCTACATCACTGACCTATGAGCTCACATTTCACTCACATAGCAGCAACCCAACTACGGCAAGCCGGATGGACACTGTCATGTTTCACGCACCAGTGTCAACAAGCCAATGGCTAAATGGCTGTGGGATGACGTGTTTTTTTATGTCAGCAAGGGCTCCCTCGACAAAAAGCAATGAGATACTCCTATTGTATTTTTGGATTATTGCAGGAAATCTGTGGAAAACAGAAGTGAATTTTACTCAAATGTTTTTTTCAGCAGGATAATATCTACATATTGTATTAACACCACTTTTTACATTTTTGAAGACAAAATGCAATCCCAAGAAGTGAAAAGCTAACAATAGGCTAAACAGACTATATCACGGTCACATTGCTTCATGTCACCACCGCGAAAGGGGGATTATAGTCTGTGTGATGACGATAACTAGTCTCAGTTAAAGCTGTTTTTTAAACCAGTGACATATTTTATGTTGTGGATCAAAATGTTTAAATTTCATCAGGTAGTGTTAACCACTAAACCTCATATCGGGCATCAAAGCAAAACACCTATAGAAATGAAACATGGACTTTGAAAGGTGGAAACAGGAAGTGCCAACATGCTGACACATCTCCAGGTTTTAGGACTCATAACTGCTACTTAAATTGTAATTCATGTGACAAGGCAATTTGGATAAGCATCTTTAAATCCATCAGAACATCATGTAATCGCTCCCAGGTTGTCTGCTAAAGGATATTGCATTATTGGAGGTGGTACCAACTAAACCTTTAACTGTGTGGATGAGCCAGCTGATTTCCTGAACCACCTGCTGCC